ATAGTACTACATATACAAAGGGAAAAAATTATGGAGTGGGAACCACACGGAGAACTGGAAGGCAATGCTTAAATATAAATACTAATCCCCTCACCACTGGAAGCCCCATAAGCAGGAACTCTTGCGGTTTCTACCGTTTCCCTGAAAATAAGACCTCCCTGGATAATAAACCCAACCGGGCTTCTGATTCAGTGCATGCGCTGAAATAAGCCCTCCTCCAAAAATAAGCCCTCCCTGAAAATATTGCAACACAGCAGCAGCCATCAGGTGACCATGCTTGCCAACCCCTATACCCCAAAAATAATAAGACCTCCCAAAAATAAGGCAAAGTGCTTATTTCGGGGGTCAAAAGAAAATAAGACCCTGTCTTATTTTCGAGGTAACATGCAGGGGTTTGTGGGCTGTTGTTACAAAAGCTATTTTTGTAGAATCTTCTCATAATTTAGAATTGAGATAGATTTTTTTTTTATTTAGAAGAGGTCCCATCCTTGAGATTGAGGTTGAGATTGTATTCTAGTAAGAATGCATATTTATCAAATACTCCCAATTTTAGTATTATCCTACTCAGAGCTAAGGTTATATTGATTTAGATTCCTGCTTTCAAATTCTCAGGGATATTTTAGGGAATTCTGTCTGGGTCTTATTTCCTAAGACCAGGGCTCTTTATTGAAATGCTTTAATTATATCTTTTCACTGTAATTCATTGTCGTTTCCAAACAAAGCATAAATATTTTGGAGCAAGTGGAAAACCTAACATGAAAGTTTATAAAACTGAATACCACCTCCGGTGTAAACTGACATGAGGAGCACAGTTTTCAAACATGGAACCAGCTCCAAAATCATGCCAGCTCCTTTTAAATGTAGACTTGATCATTAGAAAATATCCCCGGCTGCACAAAAATATGTTGCATTCTTTCCCTCTCCCTAACACTGCCAACTGGGGAGCTAGGAACCGTGTGAAGGTGATTGAGGACTCGTATCGTCAGCGTGAGGATCGTCTCCGACAAGAAAATCAGGAGTTGGTTGGCCAATACCTTTCTCGCTGTCAGAGCGCAGAACAGGCGAAATCGGAGATATTAGCCCAGCATCAGCGTCGACTGACTGAGCTAGAGCAGGAAAAGGCCAAGGAAATTGATCGCCTACAGGAGCTTCAGCGGTAACATTGTGGGGGCGATGATGAAAGACATTTTCTTAGGCTTTGAACGGACGGTTATGGTGTGCTTTACAGAAGCATAAGTCAAACATGTAAGCTTGTTTTGTTTGACAAATCTGAATCTGAATCTCTACATGGTATTTAGCCAAGTTTTATGTATACACTGAAATAAATTGAAAAGCAGTGTTTGTTTGTTTGTTTATGGCCCTTTTGACTCTTGCAGTATGTCCATCCTGGAAATGCGCAAGGATCATGAAGAGCAATTACAACGGTTGAAACAACTGAAGAGTCAGGAGATTGATGCAGTGACCAGTGCCACTTCTTACACCAGGTAGCAGGAGCTCATTAGCCTAAAGAATTACAGCATTGGTACTTACACTCAGTTGTAAGGGGCATAAATAGTTGTATCCGGTAGTCAATGCACATTTGGCAAGTGGAATCAATTCCACAGTTCGCTTCTCTGGTTCACAGTGCTCCNTTTTTAGGAGTGTCTTACCCCCACAGTATTTGTTTCCAGAGGGTAAGTCATCTGTGTACCAAGTTTGGTTGAAATTGCTCAAGCCGGTCCAAAGTTATGCTGGAACACACACACACACACACACACACACACACACACACACGTTTTTACATACTGTATATAGATAGATATAGATAGTTTTGTAGACTAATACGTAAGGGACAGGTTCATATTCAGTTAAGCAACTCTTGTGTGGCTATATAGCACTAAACCACAAACAATCCATTATTTAGCATGCTGCATGAATGCCATTATATTAGATAAAATCCTAAGGCAAAAACAGGTTTAATACTATAGCTCAGATCAAAGCCTGGCTCTTCCTCCTTGTGCCCTAAAGCAATCCTCTCACAAGTATGAAGAAGGAGAGAAAGCCCTGGCGAAGGCTAAGAAGGTGGAATCTGAACATCAGGCCAGACTCCAGACTCTGCAGCAACAAATGGAATGGCTCAGACAGCAGGAGGAACATTTGCATCAGGTAATCTCTTCTTTTTTTTTTTTTAAAGTAATCTTTATTAGTTATACATTTTTTTAAGAGTAAAACATACAAATACAAATACAATTTTAAACATACAACCCCCCCTCCCTTAAATAACAAGGAAGTCCTGTTGCCTCTTGAAAAAGCACCTTTGGGACTACTATTGTTACTGTTTATTAATGTTTGTTTTTTATTTTTAATTCTGTTATTACTTATCTTGTCATCTAAAAGAAGCAATTTTTAAAGTAGGGAAACCTTTATTAAGGCTTCCTTTAAATGACCAAATACTTAAAAACAGAATTACAAATACCATTAAATCAATGTTTGAAAGTATGGGATATCCAAATATTGACATATATGCCTCAGAATACAAAAATCAGAAAATCCTGTTTTGAATGAAAATAGTTCATGCTGTTTTGATTTGTGTTGCACTTTAATTGCATAACTCTATAAATTGATTTAATAAAATAACAGTAAAACTGATCAGCTCATTGAAAAATTGCAGCCTGCATGAAATCAAGGTAAGCAACAGCATGCCTAGATTTAAGAGATACATATGCACACTATTTTTTTAAAAAAAATCCTTTTCTTACTGTACAGATTAATTTGTCTCTAGATTATACAGGTTGCTATCATCAGAATGGAGTTGAGCACCTTCAAAAGCTTTTATTTAAAAAATGTGTACATGAACTATTACGAGTAAATCACATAATAATGTTCTGTGGAACTCTGAATGCTTAGATAGACAAGCCGAGAGAGATCAGAAAGCTTCCTCCCAAAATTAGAAGTGATGAATAACAAACAGAAGACACCATAGCTACCTGGTCTCAAGTTATGATGGGTTTTAATAGTTGATACCAGCCTCTTAAACTGCCTAGAACGTGAATAGTTCATCAGCGCAAAGAGCTGTTGCTTCTAATAACTTCTGGTTCACAGTCTATCTATATCATAACCTCACCAAAAGGGGCTTGAAATTTCAGAAGCCTAGATGATGCTGATCATACTGCAGCTTTCCAAAATGGACCACGGCTTGCACATCTGAAAAAATCGTTCTTAAGCAAAAACAGGTTCCAGAGCTCTTCCTAAATTGGAAAATTATCAGTTTGTTCTGATAATCTAGGAAATTATAGCAAATTTAAAAATAGGCTGCTTAGCATGAGATGGTGGAGTATGATACAACATTTTTCTTCCTTTGCCATGAGTCCAGGAGCGACTCAGTTTGTCACACCAGAGGAGGCAGCTTGAACAGCTACGGATGGAACTTCCAAGCAACCCACTGGTATTTCAGAACATGCCTCAGGTGCCGTTATCGGGAACTCCTGACAAATTAATTTCCAATGTGCATTGTAAGTACCTGCACAGCCATTTGGGTGGGCATTCTTGATAGCCAAAATAAAGGAAGAGGGTAACATTCCTTTCTATGTATTTTCAAGGGCTTTTATATGTAAATGATTTTCACTGAAGGGCAGAGGACTAATTCATTCATTATTTAAAATAGTGGGCCTTGGAGCACAGATTTCAGTTTCTTCCGCACAAAGTGGTCCTGGCACTCCATAACGCTGACCCTCAAAATACAGAGGAGTGTCTGACAATAAGCTAATAGGGAAAATTTAGTTAAACGTTGCTTCATTACATTTTTAAACAAGTAATCAAAGAACAAACTAAAAAGAGAGTTCCACAACTTGTTTCATTGTTCCATAGCCCCTTTGATCTATACAAGTATCTGTATGGATGACACAGATGACTATATACAATATCTAACTTGTTTTTCTTCCCATATTTGCCTCTTCCAATTACTGTTCCACTTAAAGTCAACCCTGGAAACATCAGAGCTTCTCAAGGACTTCCAAGACCAGATCCAGCAGATTTATGTGCCAAATTGGTGTTGCATAAAATTACAGCTGAACGGGTAAGATTACATTGTCCAGCTTTTGGTCTACTATGAATTGAGAACATTAACATCTGTCCTGAGGTTATAATTTACAGCTGTTTTTATTTTATTTTTTCAAATTTATATGCAACCCAGTGACGCAACAATACTGTTCTATTTAACTTTAATTTCATCTAATTTTATTTAACTCTCTTTCAAGTAAAATTATTATCTGAAAAAGAGCTCAGTTTAATTCAAACTTTGCATGAAACACCAAGTTAAGGAAATGGGAAGGATAGTGAAATTCTGATACTTGGTCATGAAAGTTACATGTTTTTGGTTCACTTTTGAGCTCTTTTGCCATTTTCATTCTGTTTTTGTTTTTTTATAATAGGATCATGATTTCTTGGAAGAAGAGCAGTTCTTTTTAGAAACCTTGAAGAGAACTTCCTATAAGACTTCCTTCCAATCAGCATGAGAGAGGATGAGTCCTAAAGATAGCTGTGCCAAGATTCACATTTCCTCCAAATAAAAAAAATGATGTCATCACTTTGAATGGTTAACATGAAATCCAGCACATAAATAAGAAGTTACATTTTGTAAAATAAATATTTTTAAATGTTTCCTTACACTACTGTTGGCAAATCAACACTTTTGTGTTTTGCTGAAACTCTTTGCCTATTAGCTGACTTTGAAGAATGGTCCTTCAGAACAGTGATCTGCCTTTGATCATATTGCATATCCCCAAATGTATTTTCACATCACCTTTGTCTCTTGTAATATTTTAATTTATTTATTGCGCATACATCCTGCCACAATTTGATGCCTTTCAGCAGCTCACATAAGACACCGAGATTCATCCAAAATATTACAATTACCGCTGAGAAGCAGTTTATCCTAGTTTCAGTCCCCCTTCTATCCCAGAATCATGAGACTACAAGGATTTCCTTCATACGTGATCTAACAGGTAAAGCTGATTCAAGTGGAGTAGGCAATCCAGAGTATAGAGATTTATGGAGTTTAACCGTAAAGGAGGAATGCAAGAATGTTTATTTAAATATTTAGCCTAAGAAGAAGAGAAACTTGGAAAGAACTGGTAAATAACTCTGCCTTGATTCTCTTTACTATTAGACAAAGTAGTGGGAAACACAAGCTTTTGACATTCTCTTGTTATACCTTACAACTGTGATGGAAAATGCAGGGCCATTTCTGAGGCATGCGAGGTGTTGCCCTATCAGCTCCAGTACGCATGTGCCAGCTGATTTTCGACCTTGATTTTCAACTGTTTCTTCGCATTTGGACTGTTTTTCGCACTCCAGAGGCTTCAGCGAAGCCTCCTGAAGCCTCCAGAGGGAGAAAAATGACCCAACTAGCAACCCGGAAGTCCATCCCCAAACTTCTGGTTTGTGTGTTGGACCATTTTTCGCCCTCCCCAGGCTCCTAGAAAGCCCCCAGAGCCTGGGAAGGGCAAAAAACAGATCTACCAGGCCCACCAGAAGTCAGAAAACAGGCTGTTTTCAGCCTCTGGAGGGCGTTTGGGGAAGCAGGGAAAGCCATTTTCGCCCTCCAAGAAAACCATGTGCAGGGCAGGGTCACGCACATGTGCAGGGGGCATGCGGCAGGGGGGCATTAAATTATGGGGTTGCACACATATGCTTTTAGAAACCAAGGCAAAAAGATTCACTGCCCTACAACAATAGAATTCTAATAGTCCTTGTGATATCTGTTTCTTCACTTGGCCTATCTTGAGGGGCTGACATCATTTTTCAAAGCTTCCCCACACGTCCAGAGAAACATCAAACTTTGTCTTGGATTGTGGTGTGGAATTCTCAGGGCACCCATTTATCTAAAGAATAACTTGCTGAAGCACTGTTACAACCAATAAAAGAAAATTTGTAGCTCAAGGTTAAAATGAGAAGTCCTTGGTGCTCTCTGAGCTTGGTTGGTTTGGTTTTCTTACAAATGTTTCATTACCCATTTTGACCAGCACTGATGATGTTACCTAGTTTGGGTAATGAAACTTCTTCAAGAAAACAACCAAGCTCAGAGAGCACCAAACACGATTACATTAATAAATGAATATACAAATAATTCTGAACAATGCCATGGTTTAATTGGCATTTTTGTGACATTGCTTATTTCAGTCAAAAGAAGTTCAGTCCAACCGATATTTCTTCACTCATGGCATTTGCTGAAGCTGAAAAGCCTAGATAGAATTGCTTATGGAAGATCAACAGAATTTCCTATAGATCACTCCAGGGTAACCTTTGTTCCGAGTCTCCTGAAATTTGCTGGATAATTATCAGAACGTCATGCAAAGATTGAGCTGCATCTCACAATCTGATCAGTATAGCAATAGCAAATGAAGAGATGCACAAACTGAAGCAGGGCTGACTTCATGAATCTACGTTGTATTTTCAGTTCAGTTTCTATGCCAGAAATATGGGATGGAATGATCTTATTCTAACCAGTTTCAATAAGTATTTGCTGATGAACTGAGTGATGAATTATTGAAACAAGATATGGAAGAACTGTTCTAATATGTGTCAATCAGTGGGTAATTGTGGGAGTTGAGATGTGAGGGGAAATAAGGGGGGAAATTTACCACTTTTTACCCCTACTGTATTATGTCCTCCTTGGACCTCAAGACTGAAGAACCATGCAAATGGGAAAAGAGATCCCTGTCTGCATCAAAGAAACAGACAACCTTGGTTTGTGTTTCTGCTGTAAAGCCCCAGGACACCTAGCTAAGGCTTGCATCCCTAAAGTACAGATCTTTGAATCAGGTGCTATCTGTGGAACTGTAGAGCATATCAGAGCAAGTGCCCAAAACACTTTTTTTTTGTCTCCCCCCCCCCCAAAAAAAATTCTTTTGAGACCAGCTCCTGGTTATACATAGACTCCTTAACTATATGTCAATTAAGGATCAGTTTCCACTATTCTTATTTCAGACCTGCTGAATTACCTTAAGAAGGCAGGGAGGGGGAACCAGTAGACTTGAGCCTACAATTTGATCAGAATGAAAGAAGACCATGGATATTTAACTATTTTGTTAAGTGCCACCAAGGGCATCCGCTTGACTTGTTCATTAGATAATATTTGTAAAATTTATACTGTAAAGTGATCCTTATCTCCCCAACAAAGTAGCAAAGTTGTCATATGAAAATTCTAAAACAATAAAACTAATTATTACAGGGAGTTTTCTGTGTGTGTTTATACATTTTTTCATTTTGCTCTTGACTGACAATCCTCATTTTAATTAACTACATTTGCTGTACAATAGCCTCAGTGGAAAGTCAGCTAATTTTAAAAGAAACACGCTGCTTGTTATAGCATACGACTTTACGAATCGGCAGATGAAGCGGACGCTTAGAAGAATTATTAAAAGAATTAAAATATTTTTTTAAAAAACCTTTGCGGGCACTCCGGGAACGACTTCGGTGTGACGTCACTCCTATGCGCCAATAGCGCGCTGAAGGACCCTTTCCAAGAGAGGGAACCTAAGAACCTGCAAAAAATGGCGGCGCCCGTTCTAAACGTCGCCCTGCGCGGATTCCGGAAGAGCAGAAGTTTTAGTACTACTGGTGAGTGATGCTAGAATGGGAGAGAAAATTGGGGTATTTTTCCCCGGTGATCTTTTAGCGCTTCCTGAAACTGGCTTCCCCACGTTCATTTTGCACTTTAGAAGTCCACCTCTGACCATTCCTCCTGTTAAATTTTGTTCCATTATATTCCAGCGCAGATGGAGATTCTCAGTCATCCAGCTCTCATGGTTGTCCCAAAAGATGCTTTTTTCAAGAGGCAACTGGACTGTCTTGTTTTTCTTTGAAGACGTTTCGCTTCTCATCCAAGAAGCTTTTTCAGCTCTTATATTCCAGTGCATCCCTGTGTCTGGAATGTTGATATCACCTTTATGGGCTTTGTTGAAACACCCCAGGAATAGTGGTCTCTTCATTTAGAGTTGGATGGATTTAGGTTTTTCTGCAAGCATAGTATGCATCTTAACTTGTAAGGTTCTGCTAGGTTTATGCTCTCTGAACTGCAGATACTCGGACAATCATACAATAATAGGCCACCAAGATTGAAAATATTTTGGTAGCTGTGGTTTAAACCTTGCACCAGTGGTGCACATCTCTGCTGTTAATTTGTTGGGTTTTTTAATGCTTCTGTGCAAGAAATTTGCTCTGAAAGGTGGATCTGTAAAGCATTTTTTTAATGCAGTCATTTTAATAAAGGCTAGAAAGGTGTTGGATGCATGCGGGCCAAGGCATTTCTTCAAAATCACTTTTGAAATGAAGACATTGCTCTCAACTTGTATGAAGAGATTGGCTATGGATATATCGTTTTTTCATTCTGTAAAATGTTTCTCAACAATGCCCAGGAAGGATTGATCCCAGTTTGAATAGAACAGTAGTTATGCCATTAATAACTCTGTATTTGTTTTGGATGCTAACATAAAACAGATTATTAAAAGTGACTAGTAGTATTGGTGCCTTTTTATGTGTATAAACATTGTATTGATTTTGATTGCAGCTAAAATATATTGTTTTAATGGTTAGGTGTTTTTTATTTAAAAGTTTTTTATTAAGACATTAAAACATTGGACATAGTATAACCATCCTGGCAATGTCTTTGCCATACATACTAGAATATAAAGTTAAATATAACCACCATGCTTCTTTACAGTTGGTCAATTCAGTATTTACAAATATAAGGATATCGTATTTTCATCCATGTTGCTTTGTTCTTGTCTTATACATTTTCACTGTTATGATTTCATACATAATTCTAATCTCAATTCTATAAATCTTAGTCATTGCTTATTTTGGATCTTTCCTTTTTTGTTCCAATCATCGATAAAATTTAGCGATGGTATACCGATCTTATAATATTCTGATTCGTCTTTNCGCTAGGAGGAGACTCTATGGTGGGGGAACTGAACTTCTGGCCAGCTCCATAATTGAACAGGGGGCTTCTGGTTAGGATCTTTGTGGCTCCCGGTGTTTTCTTTTCTGTGGGAAACAGGTCCAAATGGCTCTTTGAGTGTTTAACTTTGTTATTGCAATACAAAAGAGAACGTGAAAAAAGCATAAAAGAATCTTACTATCTGTATCGTTGATAAATAAATGGATTTTCGAGTGTCATACAGGATATTGTGTTTTAATATGTCACTACATTTACTTAATTGTAAATAGTTTTAAATCTAGGATACAAAAATAGCAAGAAGTGGAGCATCAGATGGAATTAGATGGTGCTGTAAATACAGTTCATATTACTAATAATCTACTCTGATTTAAGTGCCTTGTAAAACTGAAATATTGATACAATGCATAGACGAACTCAAATTTTAGATGGGGTGCCAATTCATGTATTAGATTGTAGTTTAAGAATGGTGTCTAGTCCGAGTTGAAACCTGTGTCGGATTTGCTTTTAAGCTATGAAGTTATTCCAGACATTGAAGCATCTTTCCACCACTTAATCAGCCATTCTTCCTATGAAGGGATAAGGCCACCTTTCTAATAATGTTCCATTCTGTTCCCCCATCCGGGGCGGGTGTGCTGCTGCTTCCCTAGTGGATCACATGTCTGAGTAGTGTAGGAGTATTAGGGAGGGGAGGGGGAGGGTAAGTGCTCCTCTAGAAATGCCTCTTCTATCCTATCTCCATAGATGATCATGATAACTTTTTTGACGATCAATGCAGATGCTCTAGTTCAAGAATTTGAGGATTTTGAGTTTGACTCCCCCCCCCCAAGGTTCTGCCTACCACCCTGGTGGCTACAAAAAGATGCTAATTCTTTCTTTGTCCCAATCTGAAAGTTTTGCAAGACCGTTTGAATTGGCAACAGAGAGACATGGAAGATGAACGAGGCCGGCTACAAGAGGTTATTTCTAAGATGGAGGCCAGACTAAACGAGCAAACCCGCCTTCTGGAACAGGTGAGCTCATGCTAAACTGGCTCCTGGTTGGTATCGGTGATGGCAGCAATGTGAGAATTGAAGGCAACTTTAGAGCTACTCAGATTTAGCATTAAAATTTTTTTAATGTTTACTGTGACAGAGATCTTAATGAACTTCTATATTGAGTGATTGCCATATCCAATCACTGTCCCTTCAAGGTAAGAGTCAGAATGGTGTTAGGTGAATTGAATTTTCTAAGGACTGGCAGGCCCAGTCCTTCCCCTGACTCTTCCTCATCAGGAAGTCTGAATATTTCCTGGGAAAATCAATGTAGGAAAATGACAGATGCCATACAGCTAAGTGTGGTGTATTGGGAAGAGTGGGGTTTGCAGATCTTCACAGAATGTGCAAGCTAATGTTACATTTGACAGACTGAGCATTTGTAAGGAAAGCACCTGTGAGTTTATAATCTATTCTAAACTATCTTCTTAGTATTACATAATGGGCAAGGTTTTATATTATTATTATTACTCTATTTCCCTGAAAATAAGACTTCTCCATATAATAAACCCAGTTGGGCTTTGGAACACATGCGCTAAAATAAGTCCTCCCAAAAAAATAAGCCCTTCCTGAAAATATTGCAACACAGCAGCAGCCATGAACTGACCATGGTTACCGCCTCCTGCATCGCAAAAATAATAAGACCTCCCCAAAAATAAGGCCAAGTGCTTATTTCAGGGGTCAAAAGAAAATAGGACCCTGTCTTATTTTCAGGAAAACATAGTACTACATGTCATCAAGTTGTTTTTGACTCCTAACATCCATATAAATAGATTTTCTCAATTGCACTTGCTGAGTTTAATCGATATATCCTGCAGTTTTAAATGGTGTTTCCATTAGCAATTAATTAAGACACATAGGAAATACTTTCCTTTTGGATAAGTACTGCCTCTGCGATACAGACGGGCTTCGAAAGGAAATCCCAGTTGGGATTTGGGGTGGCTTAGCCTAATTATAGTTGCCTTTCCTGCTTGTTTCACAAGATACCTTGCTTGAAGGTGGATTAAGCCTTTGGAGAACTGATGAGTGTGTTCTTCTTCCTTAGGAACGTTGGAGGGTCACCACTGAACAAGCCAAAGTGGAATCTTTGCAGCGTTCCCTCGAGGAACAGAGAAGAGTCATGACCCAGCAGCTAACTATGGAGAGGGAAGAGTTAGAGAGGGCAAAGGTTAGAAGTTTTCCTGTTGTTTGTGTGATTAATCAGCATGTTGTAAAATGAGGACTAAATGCAACTGGGTATATGCTATTTACTGAATTTTACTAAAAGGAGGAATCTGATATCCTCATCCACTTATTCTCCCGTATTTTCCTCACTGCTTTACTGATTTTTTAAATTGCTTTTACAGCATATGGAAAAACTGACTAATTCCACAGTATTTTTTAAATAATGCTTTATAATACTAGAATCCATCCATCTGGAACCATATTGCACATATTCTGTATAGAAGCTCAAAAAAATCAAGAGCAATATCTGTGTTTCCTTGTACTTCCATTTATATTTTAGCTATTCCCAGCTTTTAGAGACAATTTATAATAGAAGCAGAGACGATTTAAAATAGAATTCATATTCTGTTTCAAGGAGAAAAAGAACTTTTTCACTATGAGGAAAATTAAATTAAACCCAAGTAAAGTTGTAGCAGCCTTTTTAAAGTATCTATAACAACCTTATGGGGTGAGTTGTCACAGGGAAGAGGGGCTTGATTTATTCTCTAAAGTACCTGAGGCTTCCTGGAGTAATGCTCCATCGCTGTGAGTTCTCGGGAAAACTGCACAATGATTTGTCCAAGATGGAGTAAGGACTTCTGCTTTGGGAAGGGGGGGTTGGACTAGAAGATCTCCAATGTCCATTTCAGCCTTCAGATGAGTCTATGATTTTTTGCTTTGATTCACTTTTTGTGGTGCTGATTTCCCGGTCCTTCTCCTGTTCCTTGTTCCCAGAATTCTTTGCTTGAGGAACAGAAAGCAGTCATGCAGAAATGTGCTGAGGAGCGCCGTAAAGTGGCGGCAGAGTGGTCAGAGCTGCACATCCAGCAGAGGCTGAGCAAAGAACGCTCAGAGCGGGAGGTTGACCGAGCTCTGCAAATTGACTCTCAGAGAGAAGGGGCCATCATGAGTCTTGCAAAGGTAAAGGGCTACAATCTTTGTCCCTTTAATTTTTGGACCGTCTTTTTACTGGACAATCTGGGCAGAGTCCAGAAGAATATTTTGGCATGAAGCAGTCGTTAGATTGCAATTATAACCATTTATCATTTGTATTGACATGGAAACGGAAATACAAAGGATTGCGTAAAAGGTCTTTTTTCAAGTGTTTTTTTTTTTAAAACTATGATGTAAGTGGATTAAATTCAGTATAAAACAGAAATATAGAATAGCAAAGTTCTAAGGCTATTCCCCCACCCCCCCCTCTTCCTCTTAGGAACAAGCAGACCTGAAGATCAAATCCAGCGAGTTGAGATCAAGGGAAGAGCAGCTGGTGAGGGATCGAGAGCTTCTAGAGCAAGAGAAACAGGAGCTGAGACTGGAGAAAGAAAGAGTTAATGCAGCAGCTTTGCATGTCAAGCAGAGGGCAGATGAAATCAATAGCATGAGCAAGGTAAAGAAACTGCCTTTCGACATCCACTATTCAAGCTAGAAAAGCTGATATGACTCAAAAACAGCTAGGTTACACATTCTGGAAATTGCATATTCTGGCACTTCCGGACATATCAGATAAAAGAAGGCTGGACTGTACCACAGAGGCCAAAAAAGCCCTTGGCCAGCAAACAGTCTTTTAAAAAATCTGTAATATGTTCCTTTGAAAGCTAGTATCGGGGTTCCAAGTAACACCCCCAATGAAAGAAGACTCTGAGGCTTGAAGTTCCTCAAAGTTCCATTTTATTAGAGATGTCATATTGTCACATCTGAGTAAACCTGAAGCTTTCCAAGTCTTTCCCACCCAAAAGAAAGTTCAAGTTCCTACCCAGCACTCACATGTCCATCACACGATCCAATCAGGCACTGTCTCAACTGGAGATGCCTCCCAGTCACACCATTCCAGGTGTAAGGCAAGATGTCTCTTAGGTAAGCTCCCCGTTGGGAGAGCGAGTGTGTTCAGAGAAGCGTTGTGAGAGTTGTGTTGGAGGATACACAAACCAGCATACAGAGACACTGCAGTTTAAATAGGCTTTTACTTTCGTGGAAATAGAGGTAGCAGAGTCCATCAAACAGTTCAAGTCATACACAGATAAGACAGTCAGTCATCAGTGTCTTTCAGTTAAGGGATAATGCAAATAACAGTCCATAATCATACAAACAGTCCGATACTCAAAGTTTGCTAGCAGTTGCAAAACTTACCGAGCTCTGCAAATTGACTCTCAGAGAGAAGGGGCC